CCTGTGGTTTCCTTCTAGCTTGCTCCAACAATAAAACCAAATTGCTATTATCTCCTTGAAAGAAACTTTGGTGCCCCAACTTTTTTTTAGTTACCACCTGAGGGACAGGCCCTTAAATTATCCAGCTCTGATAGCTGATGGAGCTTGCATTTACAAATCCAACAGGTGTATAGCAAACAAAGCAGCAGCTTTCCACCAGGTACAGGATCACCTCTATCCCCTCCTTTCACCCCGTTGGCTATATGCATCTGGGCTCAGTGTAGGGGGAACAGGCAAAAATGCTCATCTTCCAGTTTCTCCCTGAGAGGGGCTTAATTACATATTTCCCAGCTGTTGCCTGAGGGTCTGGCTTCTAATTAGCCTGCATGTTGGTGCTGACTACATTCTTCCTCTTTGGAACATTGTCAAGTCTTGCCATATCTCCAACTATGGGAGCTGCTAAGAACATAGACAGAAATTTGGACTATCATAAGGGTTTGAGAGACAATCAGGAGCTGGGGCTGGGCTGATTGATCAGGCTGTTTTATCTAAGGTAAAGAAACCAACACAGAGAGTGAAGAAAAATAAAGACATAAGAAAATATATCTCAAACAAAAGAACAAGATAAATAGATCACCAGAAACTGACCTTAATAAGTGACTTACCTGATAGAGAGTTCAAAATAATGGTCATAAAAATACTCACTCAGGTTAGGAGAGCAATGCATGAACAAAGTGAGAATTTCAACAAAGAAATAAAATATTTCTTTACAGGCAAGAAGGGAGTAGCATGATATATTAAAAATGCTGGAAGAAAAAGCTTGCCAACCAAGAATACTCTACTTGGCAAAGATATTCTTTAGAATTACAGGAGAGATAAAGAGTTTTTTAAAAAAACAAAAGCCAAAGAAGTTTATCACCACTAGACCAAGAGATATATGTATCAATAGATCAATGGAACAGACAGTACAGAATTAGACTCTCGCACATATAGTTACTTGATTATTGACAAATCTGCTAAAGTAATTCAATGGGGAAAGGATAATTTTTTAAAACAAATGGAGTTGAAAAGATTAAACATACAAAAAAAATTCTAAAGAATCTTATACTCTATATCACAACATATACAAAAAATAACTTGAAATGAATTATAGACCTTAACGTCAGATATCCAGAGGAAAACTGTGGTGTTACAAGTTGATTTAGGATGTTGCCAAGATTTCTTAAATAGGACACAAAAACTGCCAAATTACAAAGGAAAATGATCAGCAAATATATTACTCTATTGAAATAAAAAATGCTCTTTAAAATAAGAAAATGGAAAAGAAAGTCACAAACTAGGAGAAAATATTGTAACATATCTGAAAACAGACCTTTAATTCTGATAAATAAAGAATCATTATGACTCAAAAAGAAGATAAACATTGCAATTTGGATATGGCAAAAAGATTTGAACAGAACTTCACCAAAAATGATATAAAGATTACAACATGAAAATCATGAAAAGCACATGAAAAAATGATCAACATAAATATTTAGAAAAGCACAAATTAAAACCACAGTGAGCTGTCACTATACAGCTATTTGAATGGCTACAAATGAAAGTCAAATTATACCAGGTGTTGACAATGTACAATCACTTTACAAAGTAGTTTGACAGTTTTCAGAAATATTAAACATGTACCTAGCACTTGACTCAAGGGAAATAAAAGAATGTGTCTATGCAAAAATTTGTAAACAAATATTCATAGCGACCTAATCTGGAAAAAAATCCAAATATTGACACTATCTCTAAACCTAACGCTAACAGATAAATGGATAAACACTGTGTTCTATTTATATAGTGCAATATTACTCAGAAATAAAAGGAGAGGAAGTACTAATAAACACAATCTGGATGAATCAAAAAATAGTTGTAATGAGTGAAAGAAGTCAGACAAAAATATTGTATATGTAATATGTAATTTCTTTACATAAAAAGATAATATTTCCAAACAAATTTATAGTATCATAAAGCAGACCTGTGGTTACACAAGGCAAATGGAACCTTTTTGGTATGATGGATATTTTCATTATGCGGACTGTAGTGAGCGTTCCCTGGATAGATTTAGATGTCAAAACTAATCTAATTGTATACTTTAAACAACTGCAGTTTTATTGTATTCAGTTATAAATCAATAGATCTGTTAAAAAAGGAGAGACCCACACCTAAAGATCTAAAAACACTCTGCTTAATAGTTTTCAGTTTCAATGTAACAGTGAAATTTCTATAAGCAGCTAGAAACCTAAATAATTTTAAAAATGTGAATAATATTGCTCAAAGAAATACTCTAGTACATCATTAATCAATGGAGTGAAAACAGAGAGAACAGATACCAATTACACTTATAGATTGACTTTAATTTGTTCATTCAACAACTATATATGCCTGGATATATACTAGAGTACAAAATAAAACAAATACCACCCCTCATTGTTTACATTCTACAGTTACTATAAATTGTTATCAAATCTGAATAAGCAAAAGCTTAAAATGATTTTTCAAAGTCATAATACTTAATTCAATAAATTATATCAGTAACCCCAGATTACACTGAAAGAGACAAAAAAAGTCCTATACTTTTAAATCATTCGTTTACCTGTCATTGCCTTCAAAATAAAACCAAAATTTGTTCTAGCTTGACTTGTCCTTCACCCATTAGCCTGTGCTTTCATACTTTAATGTACATAGAACACATGAGGGATGCTTTACAGCAGACTTCTGTGCCAACTTCAGATTTTGACTCCATAGGTTTAGAATAGTGCTCAGAATATGCAAACCCTGTGAAACTATCAGCCCCTGTGATCCTGATTCCAGTGGTCTGGATCTTTTACTTTGTGAAACACAGTGCTAGCTTAACCAACCAATGAGATAATAAGTGAAGCCTAAATGCGATGACACATTGAGCAAATGAAGTGGGTGTGAATGAAAATCTTACAAATGCAACATTGGCCATTAAGACTATACCTCGCACTCCAGATGAGTTCACTTAAAATACTGATTTAAACTAAATAAACAAAATGAAATAATCCTGAGTAACCAAAAATCTTTAAAACATCTTCAAAATCTGAGAAAATATAATAATAAAACATAGATTCCCAAGAGAGGGGAGGCATTTGGGTTTTTTAGGACTAGATTTCACAGAAAACAAGTGACTAAACTTTGATATTAAAACCAAAAATTAAAAGCAAAACAAAGACATTTATCTCCTTTCCCTTTGTCATTGTTTATTTTTATAGTTAGTAGACTTAGTTTTGCTCATAATTTAAAACTTATTTTTGCCATAACTGAAAGTATTTTCTCCACTTCTTTTTATACAGTTATAAAAAGTCAAGTAAAATCTTTATATGCCTTTCACAGTATATGATTAAAGAAAATTCTAGGAAACTTTAATTGATTCCATGATTTTACAATGTATTCTTTCCCAGTCATATCTGATTTCTGATATTTGGCAAATGTAAAGAATTTTTGATTAAAAAATAAAATCCTTTCAAATAACTTAATTAGCATTACTCAGCAGATTTTTATTTTTATTTGATTTTCATTTATCAAACATCCTATCTGAGCCCAAGGGTACAGTCTTTAAACAAGTTACTGATCTTTCTGTCTTTAGGAAACCCACTCTGTCTTTAAGAAAGTTCCAAAGAGTGAAGGAGAAAAGATATGTGTTCCACAATGCTGCCCAGGATGAGCTGCGGACATGTCATGCATTAAAAATGAAGATCAAGTCCTGGGCCATCAGAAGAGAATAAAAGCAAAATTTCTACAGATGGTCATCAGAAGATTCTCCGGCCACCAGGCAGAAAAGGTGGATATAGGGGAAAGGAGAGAAGAAAGTGAAAAGACAAACCTAACGATGTTATCATGGTTGCATAACAAAGAGAGGACCATTTTCTCCCCAATGAGGAGGAATTTGGGGCAGGTGAAAATGGGTGGTTAAAAAGTAAGAGAGGATGAAAGTTGGGATACTTAATTTCTTCTGTAATTGGAATTTCAACTGGCTTCAACATAAGCACAAAGCCCCTAACCATCTCAACCAGTAGGGTCAAAGAGAATGAGAAATAATAAAACTAGCTATTCATAGTAAGTCTGAATTTATGTTCTACTTCATGGCTTGTCAATTTCTGCTATCCCTGCGGCCCACAGCATTTCTGGTATAACCAATATATCAGGATATCCTCTCCATTAACCAGACTGAAGGTGTGTGGTTGGCAGAGTCAGCTGTTATTTTGCTTGTATAGTTTGCAACAGTGGGCATTAAATCCTAAATGTGCAACATGAAAGTTGGGTTGGATCTTGGAAATGATCTAGTAATATGTCTTCATTTTACGTATGAGTAAACCGAGACTCAGAGAAATTAAATAATTTTCCCGAAGTCTCTTAGCTAAGTGACATTTTAAACAGTTGATGATTTTGGACTCTTTTAGTCTTTTTTTCTGGAATGGCCACAAATTTTAATTCGTCTGTCTTGTCTACCTGCTTATAATTTGTAAATTCTATGCATGGATACATAGGCTTAGGTTATTTGAGAAAATGGAATTGTTATATTAAATGTTGCATTAAATTTGTTAAATCTGGGGTACATAACTATTTTGAAAGCAGTTTGTTTATGGACAAATCTTTATTATTATTATTAGAAAGTCACAAATGTAATATGTTTAATACCAGCTGTCTAACATTCTTTTTAATTTGAGGGGGTGCATTTTTTTCTTTTCAGACAATGGGATAGTTATAAAAGGAGATAGAGGAAAGAGAAAACTTTTCTATATCAAATAAAAATAAATCTTGGGAAATATTTGTCTCCTTATCCAAAGAATCACACTCTTTGAGGTTTGAACTAAAAATTCATAATATCAAGGAATTGATATTTACTGATAAAAGCAGAAAAATATGTCATTGTCATGAGAATGTAAGCCATGATTTGAATATTTTGTTTTCTTAGGTTGAATAAAATCCATTCATTTATAAAACAGTGTACTTACTGATTCAGGACAGGTGTGTAGGCTGTTTTATCCTCATCAATAATTGTAACCATCAGTGTAATAAGCTGGGGCCAAAAATCCAAATTCTTGGTGGTTGGTCCCTGCTCTTCCCGAGGAATGTCCTGTTTCTTATTCTGCTCACCAGGTCAGGTAACATGCAAAAGAAAAGGTTAAATGGTATGACCTTAGTTAGAAGTCACTGTTAAACAGGTGGTTCAAAGAAAAGTATTATGAAAAAAAAACTCTTAGATCATGTGAGCCAAAGGTCTTAAATTTGGGTTTCCTTTCTTCATTCAATGGTATCTCATAGGATAAAGTCACAAAGGCCAGGCTGGTATTTCTAAATACTTTGGTTCTGGAATAAATGTTTCTCTTCGTCTGACTATTGCGATTCATAATCTTAGGAATTATTACTGTAGAAATTATCCCTTTAATGTGCCTTCTCCAAAAGAGAGAGGTTGAATTATGTGTGTACAAAGGGCTGTGTGTGTGTGTGTCTGTGAAAATTTTATCCTGTCTCAATATTTTGTGTGAAGTCACATTGGTAGCAAGTGGGCAGAACTCAAGGCTGTCTGGTTACAAAGTCAGTACTATTAAATTCTACAATATATACATGTTACATGAATGGCCTGAACACTCTCATTCCACCTACAAATGTATCTAGCTAACTAAAAATCTGTAAGTCTATCTTTTGCATGTGTAGGTGTGCATATTTAAATCATATTTGAATCCTTCTCAATTTACTACACTGAATGAATTCTCCAAGTCTTACCTCCAGAGAGTATTGCCAGGATGATCTAATTTTACATTGAAAGTAATAGAGTATAATAACAATCTTGAATGTTTCACGTATAAACTTCATATTCAACACATATTATTCTTTTGAACATGCTGATAAATTATTCTGGTTATTTTGTTTGGTGGGTATTCTTAGAGCACGCCTTTCACATTTACTTTTTAATTAGGCAAAAAAAAAAAAAAAGCAGAGGTAATTTTCACTCAAGTAAACAAATAAGTGGGAAAATTATGGCTTCCCTGATTATTTTTGCTAAATTATTCATAAGCTTATAAGTCTGGGATATTTGAAAACTTCAATTTGTGGCTCAGAAAATTCATTGACTCTTTGATATACAAGGTAGATTAGATTTTATCAGCCCAATCAATTGCCATATCCAACTACCATGTCCAACCTGAAAATCAGCCACCCTCTGCTGAATGGGTAGCTATATGCATATCTTCTAATACTTTCTAAGACATCTATCTAGATTTGGACAAGTCATCATCCAATTATTATTCTCCTTAAGTTAAAATACCGTTCTATATTGAATCCACTTACTATTAGAGATCTCCACACACAGGCTATAATGTACCTTTTGGGACATCTAATTTTCTAGGGTGCTTCCAAGCACTGTTGATTTAGCTCCATGCTCAAAATGTAACGGATATTAAAAGATGGAGAGCAAAATTAAAATAGTCAAAAAATTAGTGGCTGGCACAAATTACTTCAAACTGCCAGAATGAACTACAAGCAGTCTTCAAAGGCTCTTGAGAATCTTGTATGTCTTGTCCCTGAAAACCACTTGAAAGTCCTTGGTGGGCTTCCCTTTTCAATTCCTGAGGTACCTCAAAGCACATCAATTGAGATCTTTAAGAAGAAAAAGGCAGCAAGACAGGCTCACAAATATCCAGCTTTGCCTACTTTTAAGTTATATTTTCTATTAAAATCTATCTTTCTTTTATGAACAGGACGTTATTATTGTCACAATAATGTAATTATTTACTCATTACATTAAGCTCAATTGATTTCCCTCTCTATGGTGCATTTAGAAGTCAGAGAACCCAGTGAGTTGTGAAGGTTGTAAATAAAATGAATTCCAGTGGCCACAGCAGAATATATTAGAATATTATCATTAATCATCGTGATGTGAACACAGCCAAACTGTATGTCTAACTTATTTTGAATAGTGTGATTAAATGAAGGGAAATGATTATAGATGATGTGTTTAACATCACAGTCACTTATCATCATTCTGCAAAGAGTGATATGGAAAAGAGAAGAGACTAAAGTACATAGTTGAATATGCATTAATTCCAAAGTCCCTTAGCTGTTGCAAATTATACTTTTATTATTATTTTATGACATTAGAGGATTATAGACGGTACCATTTTTTGCATCAAATTCCATATGTAGCATCAGAAGAAACCAAATGGAATGCTGAATCATCACAACAATATCATAAATCAGGTCTTCCCTATTTTACTAGTGCATTTTAATAGACTGCATGTTTAAAATAATAGGGTATAATCATGTGTGTTAGAATTTTTACCTAATTTAGTAATAATTAAATTTTTCTAAGTAAGACTTTACTAATACCCTGGAAGTCTACTAGGGCATGTGACCTTAGAGTTAGAAAAATTAACATAATGGTAGTTGAAATTTTAAAAGCTAACAAGTGCATTACTATTTACTGAAACTCATATTTGTCATAATAAAAATATATTTTATAATATATTTATATAGGGTATAAGTATAATATATAATTATAAACTCAAATACAAAAAATATAGTAAGTTTATATAACTGACTTAGATCAATTTTAATTATGTTCATCATTATTATCGTGACTAAAATTTACTTTGTTAACAGACTATTGAGGAAAGAAACTTGAAAGAAAGTCTGTTAGTATAATGAGATTTTTTTTTTAACGTGGAAAGTTGCCAGGATGTAGGATCGGCTGGAAAAAAGCAGCCAATTTTCATGTTTACAAAGGATATTTCACTACAAAAAAGCTTGCACAGAAAAGCGGATAAGATGTACACTATAGTTTCATAATTTCAAATAATAAAATGTAAAGATATTCTCATCAAGAAGAGACCAACACAGAGAACTATTAAGTGCAAAAAACAAAATTGTTGAAATAGATGGTATCTTCATGGTAGTAAGACTTATGCAACACTTCTAAGGTTCCTATAAAATATTTCTGTAACATTCCACGTATTTATTCAATGAACATGCAATTTTAAAACTCTCCTGTAAAGGTTTGGCCAGACAAGGCTTGTGGGGAGATATTTAGTAGAGAAATGTAAAGATGTGATGTTAAATGCAAATACACATGACAGAAACCTACTTAGATAATTACTAATAATATAAGGCTACAAGCTCTTGATAAAGTATGTTTTTCTAACATAGTTTCACTGGATGTTAGTGAGTTTAACACAAAACACATGATTCATGCTTAAACCAATTAAGAAAATGTTTGCTTAAGAAAAATAAATAGGTTATTTTCAGACTTCTTTGAGTAATGTGTTAATGTGCATTGCAATTCTCTAAGATGCTTCTGAAACTTTAGTGTGTATCAGTATTGCTGGGAAGCCTTGCTTAAACACAGATTGCTAGCTAGGTCCTACCCTCCAAGTAGGTCTTGAGCGAGGCCTGACCTCCACTGTCCTATTTTCCTCACCCCATCTTACAAAATTATCCACAGAATAAATGTGACTCTGAACATACTTTGGGAAACAAAGGGTTATAAAGATAGATGCTGTTAAATCCCAAAATACCTTGTGTGTCATGTTAAGAAATTTGCTTTGAAATAAAACTTGATGAGGACCATTAAAAGATTTTAAATATGAGAGTATTTAATTATAATTGTTTTTTAAATGACCTAGCAGTTGCAGTAAGTTTAATGAAATTAAACTTAAGAAAGAGTTAATAAGTAAACTGATAGAACTCATTGCCTAGTTGGTGAGAAAAAAGAGAGAAACCAAGTGGCACTATCTAGAAGGTAATTAGGTAGATTGGTCTGGAATTTTAAAAGCATCCTGGATTATTAATGTAGATAGAACTCCAGGATAGAAGTGGTAGCTGAGATTAGGGAGTAAATAAGATTACTGGAAGAGAGGAAAGAGAATTGATGGCCAGGGGCAAAACTTTGGGGGTCGGGGTGCGGGGAATCTAAAAAAGAAAATTTCCTAGAATGGTAGGAATTTCCATCCTGAGAGAAGAGGAAGAGTAAATAGTAAAGGTTTGAAATAACTCCCACAAGGAACGAGACAGAGCCTTAAGTTGAACCCATAGTGGCACTGCCAGGTAGCCTGGGAACTCTGCTGAGACTGGGTCCCTGAACATATAGTGACACCGCTCTGGATCATCATGAATTTTATCCAGCACTGGAGTTAGAAGCCAAGGAAACAGTTCTGGATTTGCTATGGGAGTGCAATAAAAGTAGGAAAGGAGAAAGAGATTTGTGTGTTTGACGAGAATGGCTGAAGTGCTGGAACAAATATTTACTTTTGATCCAGAGGAAGAAGGAAGAAAAATGGAAGGGAAGATGGAGAAATGGATCAAACACAGCAGACATTTAGAGCATGAGAGTGGGAGGCAGGAATAGAGATTAGGTGAAGGGCTCTTAGAGCTGAGGCCTAGAAGAGCCAAGGAAAACAATTTCTCAGGTAAGGTAATGAAGCTGTGGTATTGCTGAAAATAACTTACAGAATTTGTGTGTATAAATAGGAGACTGTCACAATGTATACAGCGAGATTGTTTTCCTTCAAGGCAGGTAAGTGGCAATTAAAGGTTTTGGCAACAAGATTTATGGATGCTAGAAATTTGAAAAATCAGGACACTGTGCATATAAAGACACATGGAAGAAAATAAAATAGAGGTGAGCCTGAATACTTAAAAAGAAAGAAGCTTCAAATAAAAAATTTAAAAAAAGCCTGGCAAGATAAATTAATATTAAACTGTTAACTAGCTCTTATACGTCTGCAAATTCCTCTGAGTTAGCTGTATATCTCCTCGTATTTCTGAAATAAGGAAATCTTAGCCCTAGCAGTGCACAGCTTAGAAAAATAGAAACTCTGGCAATAGTTTTGGAAGCAGATCATAGAGTTCAGATGCTCAGGGGTTCTGAGATCCTTATGAAGAGCGATGTAGACAGTTTATCAACTAGAAGAAGGAAGGACATTTATATTGCTCTTTACCTATACAGGACCAGACAGAATTTCTCCAGGTACCTTTCCCCTAGCCCAGGGCAACCAGCTAAAACATTCTCTACATGAATGGAACCACCCTTTTTGCTTCTCTCTCCAGATACTGCCGCCTTCCCTTTTACGGTCTCATAATACTTCCACAACC